AATTTGTTTTAGTATTTTATGCATATTTGAAATATTATTATTTTTTTTCAGGCAAGTTTTTTTGATCATCATCGTTTTTGAAATAATGAATTTATGTTACGTGTACTTGACTCAATGTCATTTTATAAATTAATTGAAGAATGTGGTCCACCTTTCCGATCATATGATATATTTGATGAAGTATATGCATCGATCTACGATGCATTAAAACGTGAAAATGATCATACAACAAATCACAATTCAACATCTATTTTAGAACATATTAAAGAATTAGCCAATCAGCCTTTATTAAATGTAAAAAGAAAAAGATATAAAGAAATATTTTGTAGAATGGTGGTCTTACGTAGAGCACTGTACTAGTCAAAGCTCGTAGATGTATATGAACGGTGAATATGTTATAGAATTAGAATAGTCTTGCGCTGATTTCATTTTCATTGCGGTCAGGGAGATCATTTCAAGAAAATAGAGCCAAGGTTTTGAAAGTTCAAGAATCGATAGCAGATTTGATTGATCTTAATGAGTAGTAAAAATAATTGTTTTAGTTTTCCGACATTCTCTTGTCCATTTATAAGTTAGTCATTAATTTATCCTTTTTTGAGACATCGATGTTTCTTTAAAATGTAAATATCTCAGTAATAATACGTTTCTTCCGGCTCCAACTCTAGGACAATTGAACTTAAGACTAAAGTACTTTTATCATGTGTTCACCATTATTCTATACGTGCATTTCTAAATTACTGCTGCGCTCTATTTAAGATCAATAATGACCGTTGCATCCTTCTATCTTTTCTTTTTTCAAAAAAAGATTTTCTTATAAGACAATCCATCACAGGCTAGTTGTATGCGAGATAATTTACCAAAATTGCCACATGTATATAAAGAATTAGTTAATGCAGCGATTAAAGAATGAATTTAAAAAGCTTTTTAGCGCAGCTCCTTTGGAGGTGAAATGTGAAACTCACGTATATCCTTCAAACTTGTTATCCTACTGCATCATTTGTAAACGGAAAAATAGTTTTTTTCAAATAATTATGAAAGCATTGAGATATTGTATAGAGGGTGTGGGTGTGGATATAACTGAACAGAATACAATATCACACACCTACACCCACACCCACACCCAACTAAATCAGTGGATGAATCACATGATTTTGAAGAAATATTATTTTTTGTATTTATAAGATCATGTGTTGTATAACTTGATGATATAAAACGATTGAGTATTTGTTGTATAAAATTATCTGTATCTTGGTGTGCAGTTTGAAGAAGAACACTATTTGTATCAGTACAAGTACTTGTTGTTGGATGTTATGATGCAACAATATCATGGATTTCTAAAAATCAAATCAGCTATTTAGAATTTCTTGAGTTGCAAACACTTCCTTGTTACCTGTCAAAGGACCAACTTTTTGATCACTTTTTGATGAAGAAATTCATATCGAAAAAATCGGATCATTTTTTGCGGTAAGCCATGATATTTGTCAAAACTACCGGTTTATTGCGGTTTTTTACAGTGGTGGGGGGCGAGGGGGGGGGGGGGGGTGTGAGTGTGCCTGAAAAAACGAACAAACACTCACACCCATACTCACACCCACCCACGCCCACTGAACGGAAACATGTTGCAATAACTTCCATAACAACCTCATCCTCACCCCCATCCTCACCCCCATCCTCACCCCCATCCATACCCTAATAACTGAAATATTCGCAACAATAAGTAAAACGTGTCATTTCACAAAAAAGACTTTTCTGTTTCATGACATGAGGTGTCATGTTTGGTAATTCCGTTAAAAGATTCAAATGGAGATTTAGCACGGGATTGATCCTTGTTATTATCTATGCTTGTAAAAATCTTACGCACTGGATAGCTATTCAATAAATACAACTTAACAGTTCCGATGGTAAACGAAATAAAGTAGTTTGCAACAGGCACACTGCCCTATTCACGACTTATATTGATACTTGCTGTAAACAATAAGCTTAAACAATTCACTTTTTGGCAGAAATCTGTTGACACTATTAGGGCTCGTTACAAGAGTTTTCAATATTTATGACCTTGAAAATCGTTTCTTCCATCTTCAGTATTTGACCTCAAGACCTTCGTCATCATCAAATTAGTCTTTGTCTTGTGTGTCTTTTTCTTTTTTTTTTTCAAAGGTATTTTAATAACAGAATGATGAAGGTTACCGTGTACATATGAGTCATCATTCATTATTCTTTCCATTTCTACAAAAAAGTTTCGAAATTACCATTTGTTATGAAATTACAGTGTGAAATAAAATATAAATGGTGGTGTTTCATCTTCTTCATTTTTAATTTTTGATCATGACTACTACGTTGATGACAATAAACGTGGATACACTCTATGATGAATTAATGAGTCTTTGTTCTCAAGATGATACTTTCTACTACAAAGATATTCGTTTATATTCAGTCAAGTATCGTGTATTCAATTATCGTCTCTGTTCTTATGCAACATTTCAGTCTCGTACAGCAGCCTTGAATTGTCGTGGAACGATGTTCAACATTACGAATCCAAAAAATATACAACTCGTTTCTTTACCACTAGAGAAATTTTTTAATTACGAAGAAGGCTTTGGTCGAAAGCAATTTCATGAACGTGGCCGGCTTGGAGACAAAATGGAAAAAATGGATGGAACATTGATATCAACATTTTTACATGGAACAGCTTCGAAAGAAGTTCGACTTAAATCAAAACAATCCCTGACATCAAAGCAGGTTATAGAAGCGATGCAATTACTTGTTGGTATGTAAGTTAATAATATATTTCAACATAGAATGCTTTTTTTGTGCATAAAGCATTCATCGTCGTAGATTTTTAAATATATGAGGGGAAAGTATTCTCGATCTGCTCAAGGGTGAACGAATTCCGTTTTTTTTCGCTTGCAGCAATTTTATTTTGATCAAACAAAAGTTGACAGCTTCAGAAATTTTATAAAATAGGTAGGCAAGAGTGCCTCATATTTTTCATAAACTTCCGTTCGTTTGAAGCTTTTGTTCAAATTCTATAGGTAACGTAGTAGTCCTTGATGGAATCATGCGTAGACGTTCCGAATGGTTGAGATGTGCAAGAAGCCTTTAGTCCTTTACTGAAAAATTTTCTGTGAATGTACCCGCTCATTCTTGAAAAAAGTATCACGAAACAAAAAAAATTATTTCTTGCTCTGGAACACGCAAAAGAGTACAAGGGTAAAGATGACAACAGAATTAATACGAGAAAAAAGCATACATGAATATAGAGAAGAGAATAGCTAATAAAATCGAAACATAATTTATCTCAATTCTATATCTTGATTATTTTTCTCTTCAGGTGACTTTAAGTCTGAAATAGAACGTCTGGTTCATCTCAATTATACTGTCGATATGGAATATACATCGCCTTCCAATCATGTTTTCGTGTCCTATCCACAAGCTCAACTCACTGTTCTTTCCATTCGATTGCATACCGATGGTCAGACTTTGTTTGGTACTCGATTGAAAAAATTTCTTCTTGAAAATCATTTTCCTATAATCCTTGATCATCTCGTCTCGTTTGAATCCATTCCATCCGATGTAACACACCAACAATTACTACAAGACATTTATAAACAACCGTATGGAGAAGGATACGTTGTTGAAATTATTCAACCTGATCAACCATCGTATCTTGTCAAAATCAAAACAGAAAAATACCTTAGGATTCATAGAGATGGTCAAGATGCAAATTCTCCAAGATCACTATTTGAAGCTATTATTAATGAACATGCAGATGATCTGACAGGATTATTTAAAGATGATACAGAAACATTAAAGAGAATCAACGAGATGGAACAAAACATAAGACCAAAATACAATCGCATGATTGAATCGATTGAACATTTTTATCGGACGAATAAACATTTGTCGAAGAAAGATTTTGTCCGATCGATCGCAATGAACGAAAATATGAAGATTTATTTACCGCTGTTGATGAGATTGTATGCAGGTGAAGACAATGATTATAAACTTTTTGCCATAAAATATTCAAAAGATTTGTTCGGCATTTATGGCGATGGAAATCAATCAATCAATAGCAGCGAACCAACATGACTGAGAATGAGAAAATTGGATTGAAGCAGTGATGTGCATATTTTATTTACTCATAGTTGATGTCATCGATGAATGGCATATCAAGCACTGACTTGCATTACAATATTTTCATTGTTATTGGAACTAAACTTACACCGAAAATCACTGATACGATGTCATCCACTGCTGTAACGATGTGCATCGCCCATTCGCACATCGATTCTTTCATAGTATACCACCTTCTGTGCTGTTATTTACTAGAATGAGTACTCCGTTAGATCTTTCATCAAATACTATAATTGTGGACTAGCTTTATTCGTGATTGCAGTGCATCAATAAGATGTTCAGTTCAGAGTCTTCTTATAAAATATTCATTATCTTTCGCTGTTGTTTTATCTTTGATCATGTAACGAACCTTTCTGTAAGCATATCTCTTTCTCTTTCTTTTCATGTGTGATTGATTGTCTAGTACACTGTAAAAAAAAAAAGGTTTTTTACCGAATCCCAGAAAAAAGGTTCCGGAGATTTGAAAAAGCTTGCAAATGCATTCAAATGCTTAAAAAACGATTCTTCAGTTCTACGAAACCTTTAAAGGTTATTTCCCTGGGCACACGGGAAGAACCTTCTCCTGCGAAACATTTTTTAAAGTTCCGTACAGCAGAAAAAAGTTTCGTAAAAAAATACGAAACCTTTAAAGTTTCGTATTAAATTCTACTGGCTTAGTACGAAACCATTCGTGTTTAGTAAAAAAACCACTAGAATTTAATACGAAACTTTAAAGGTTTCGTATTTTTTTGCGAAACTTTTTTATGCTGTACGGAACTTAAAAAAAGGTTTCGCAGGAAACGGTTCTTCCCGTGTGCCCAGGGGAAGAATCTTTAAAGGTTTCGTAGAACTGGGTGGGGTGTGGGTGGGTGTGGGTGTGCGGGTATTGGTAGAGAATAGAGTGACCCACACCCACACCCTTACTGGTACTATACTATTCATTTAAAGCGCAAATGAATTTTTAAATGAGCAAACAGAATTAATTACAAATACTTTGATATTAATATTAAACAATTTATTAATTTACTGAGCAGACGATTAGTTAACTGAGCAAACATAATAGTTACTGAATATTAAATATTATATTGATAGTTTAATTTGTTTACTGAAAAATTGCATAGAATACTGAGCATTAATTTTGTTGTCATTATATATTATATATGTAAATCTATATTTTAATCGATAATGAATGTCATGTGGTTCAAAGAAATGTTAATTTTGAGAATAAAGGACGATCATCTCATCTGTGATTTGAATCATAATCTAGATATATTGTTTTTCTTAATAATAGCAATAATCTCACGAGATTACATAGAAAAAAACAGGACATTGTCATTCTCTTCTGTTATTCAATTGAATATTGAGTGTATATACGACCTTCTTTCCATCATTCTATAATACAAACCTATTAAATCGTAAGAAAGAGCTAATAGAATGATTCCATACAACACTGTATGATGCTAGAAAGTTATGTTTAAAATGAAAAATCCTTCTTTCACAATGGTTTAAAGAAATATGAAAAGAATGTTTTTCATTTTAAAAGTATTCTTCATCTTTTCAATTCAACTCAAATCAAAAAGAAAAATAAATGAACATTACTTTCTGATCGTATTGGATCTGAAGTTCAAAACATTTTCAATAATTGCACTTGATATATATGATACCAAGTTGTTTTTCATTTCAGTTGTAAACTATTTCTCTTGGAGTCAAACGTTCAGTCTTATAGTTTTTAACAAAACAAGATTATTCCAAAATATCCGAGTACAAAAATAATATCTTGAATTTGATTCCATTTTTAATTTATTAAGTCAAACAATATGAAAATATTTCGTCTTTTGTATTAATTATCTTATCATTGATATTCTATCTAAGAGAATTCATTTAACTAAATAAAATCAATGATAAATTTTAATTCAATGAGATCTTTGATAATTTATGAATTGGACTTCAAATGTCTAGATTAATATATTTTATTTTGTATTAAATGTATTCACCGAGTGATAAAAAATTGCAATGAATCATTATTTTGTTTTATATTCTACACATAATAATATGTGTTATAAGAAACATACTACATAAGAAATATTTTGTTTGACAAGAGAATAATAAGCTGATCGATAGACCGTTAAGAAATTCTAACGAAAAATATTAGACAGAATGAAAACTAAGATTATCTATTCGGTAGTCAAATAGATTGAACTAATTCAGAGTGAATTAAGAAACACAATTAACGTTTTTTATTTAACAATACAAATTCTATTGGTTAGTTCGCTTTGAATTAGTTTTGTCTGTTTGTTACCTTCATTATAGAACAACATGACGACATCGATATTGATTCTTCATTGTTCTTACAGACACGGCAATGAGAAATATATATATAAATATAGATTGACATGAATACATTGAATGAGTTAGACATGAACAATTTAAATAATAATCATCTCAATATACTTGATTTACCCAATGGAAATTTTATTTATCATTTTTCAAAAACTCAATATGGTTGATGTTCTTCATTCATTTGTGGATGTTAATCAACGATTTAATCAATTAGCATTTGATTCTCTTTATATTCATGATCTTAATATGACTACTATTATGGACATCAGTTCATTGTACGATCAAACTTCTTTAATAGATCCTAAAGTTCTTTCAAGAATTTGTGAAAAAATCTTACCTCAAATTCATGATCAAATATATAAACTTACTGTTGAAGAATATTCAATCAATCAAATTCTTCTTGCTTCGAATTATCCTAAAATATATTCATTATCACTTGTAAATTTTCAAGAAGTAATATTTTATCAATATTTAATGGGTATAATATTTAATTTTGTTCATTAGAATTCAAAATATGAATTAATATTAATTGTCTTTATTTATTTTTTTAAATTAAAGATAATTTAATTCTTCGTAATCTTATCAAACAAATAACACATCTTAATATTGATATTAAAGAGACAACAGAACATTGTTCGGAAATTGGTTCAAAAATTTTTGCATTAATCTTATCTTTATGTAAAAAATTAATTGTTTTGAATTTTTGTTATATGTTTCCTACACGAAATTATTCACCTTCAATTAAAAATCAATGTCTTAACTTTAGTTGATTGTCTTTATTTACTTGATGGACCGCTCATTTGTTTATCAACATTAATTATTAATGTATCATCTACTTTTTGTCCATTACAATACATAAATCCAACAGTAAGTATTATTTCAATGATCATATTTAGAGAAAAAAAAGAAACACCTAAATCAATAAGTAAATAAATATTCTTAATTTTATTTTCTTTATAGAAAAAGCTTCCCAAATTGAAGTATTTTTTTGTTTACCTCATGTAATCACACAAAGAATTATGATGATATAATTGTTCCATTACTTTGTCGAATGATAAATCTTGAAGAATTGAAATTATATTTATCAGTAGGAAGATCTGATTCGACTTATATTGATGGTATTCAATTATATGATCAATTTCTTATTTGTATGACACAATTAAAGAAGTTTACATTTAGCATTAAAACAATGGTCTTGTTTAGGACGGCTAAAGTTGAACTTCAATCGAATGAAGATATTCAACGTAGTTTCATTGGAAGAGGATATCAACAAGTAGCATCATATGTACATCCTAAAGCATTTTCATGCGATGGCAAATGCCATATCTATTCACTTCCGTATGACTTCGAATATTTTTTTTTATCTCGACAATTCTTTTCAAGGTGGTATGTTTCATAAAGTTCGACAATTGAAAATGAGTGATGCAATTCCTTTTGAAGATAATTTATTTAAACTCATCTCTCAAAACTTTCCTTTTCTCGAATTTTTATATATATCTAATGATTATCCACAAAAACATAACCAACATTCATCAACATCAATCATATTTCCTTATCTTAAATTTCTTGATCTAAAATGGGCACATATTGATTATGCTGAACTATTTCTTTTGAAAAAAAATATGCATTTATCTCGTTTATCAAATCTCTTCATGAAATATGAATCACTCATAACGATAACAAACAATTTTACTAATGATGCAACACAATTTAATTTTGGAAAGTTGAAAAGTCTTGATGTATGTCAATCATTTGTTCGTTCAGAAAATTTTCATAAATATTTTCCTTTGTTATAAATTGTTTCAATAAAAGAAAATATATATGGAGAAAATTAAATATTTTTCATTTATTCTATACAGCAACAAACTACACAAGGATAGTTAGATGATATTCGAGTTTCACTTCACTTTGAAATGTGATACGAAGCGGTTCAAAGATGTATTAACAAGAAATTGTATGAAACGAATAGTCATATTTACGATTGAATACGAAACATTTTATTCCGAACAGTATCTCTATTTTATTTCATTAAGCTCTTTTTCGTATCAATGTAGTAACAAAATATTAGATATCGATCGGAAAGTCGAACTAGAAAATAAAGTAGATATTATGATATACATTACTATGAGAACTTTATCACCAAATATCAACTCATTTCTAAAGAGCATTATCGATTGATCATTTTAATCAGAGTCCACTCGATTTATGATTGATGTCAGAAACGATAAAAAAGGCTTGTCAGCCTAGTATCGTGTCCATTCAGCGAAAAAAATTTGAGCGAAAGGCTTTTCAGCAAAAAAAAACAGTCAAAATCAGTATAGAGAAAGCACATTTCAACAAAGATGCATAGTAGCGAAAAACATAATAGAGAAGAAACAAATTCGCGAATGTGCAAAATAGCGGAAAAAGAGGATGTGAGTGTGCCGGTGTGGGAGCGGGTGAAGAGAAGTCTTACATCTATACCCGAAGTATTTTCATAGGAGCATTGAAAGTAACTAAAAACAAAAATCATCGATTGAACCATTTTAGTCTCGAATGGTAGAAATATGCACATACGTTGATATATTTTTTTATCGTCTACAAATAAAAAGGGGAGACATTTGTCTCTTTAAAAGACAACAGACGATAGCTTCAGCAAGATAAAAGATGACACTTGTAACACCGCTGTTGTGAGTCCAGGTGGACTCATAACGGCGTTTTTTCTCTTTTAGACCTATCAACAGTTTCTGATAAGCATATTATGCATTAACACAAGACTAGAGATTAGGGAGGAAGACCATCTGGGTGAGTATGGGTGTGGGTGTGGAGCAAAGGGGAACACCCACACCCACACCCTCAAAACAATCAAAAGGTTCAATAAAATCATTAACATGTCCTCATTGTAAACAAACTATTTATATTTCATATTAGTTTATTGTGCTTCATTTTTTGGTCCATTTCATTATTAAAAATTTATTTATCTGCTTATAAAAACAATAACGATATATTTTTACATTCATCTTTTTTTTTTCTGTATCATATATTTACATTAATAATAAAGATACAATAAGTCATTCTCACAGGAATATGCGTACAGTTCTTCTATTCCATAAAAATTTGAATTATTATTTAAAAAAAAAAACCAATTTTCTCATTCACATTTTTCTTTTCTACAGACATCATTATCATCATCTGGAGATGATAGAAAACAAATAGCAAATTCAGATGTCATATTTCTCTAACAACATTAAATGATCTTTATCAAATTCAACCGTAAGTTTATTAAATAATCAAAACAAAAAGAAGAAAAATGAGATTGTTCATTCTTAGAAATTATTATCCATCTTCAATAGGATTCGTTATCCTCCTGATAATATACATCATTATCCAACATATTCTTCAGCTCTATCAATATATCATCATCCACCTCCATCACTTCATCCAATTCCTTATATTTCAATAAATGGAATAATATATTCAGTTTTCATCTTCATATAACTGCACCATTTACGTCAACATTTATTGCATATCATGAAACAGCTACACAACCAATATCAAAATCTCCTTCGAAAAATGAATCTTATACAAAACAACGTTATTTTCAACGACTGTAAAAATTATTTTTCTATTTTTTTTTTGTTTTGGATTATATGAGATCGATTTTGAATTTTAGTCAAAAATCATTGGTTCGTCATCGTTCACGTTCTTCATTTTATTCAAGCAGGTCAGTTAATCTAAAGTTTCTGTTTCGTGAGAACGTAGGTTTTTTTTGTTGTTGTAGTAATTCTCCTAGTTCATCTCGTAATCGAAGTCGTAGTCATCGACAAGTAAAATCTCCAAGTCGATATAATTGTTCACAACGATATTCATCATTCTATCAAAATCGTTGACGATCCATTAAAATTAAAGAAAAATATTCATCAAAATATCTAAAGTAAAATAAAATTTAAAAAAACAATAATCTTTTGTAATCAAATTCTTAAATAGATCTCAACCTCGTTCATCTTATAAAGAAGAATGATGTCGTTCACTTCGTTCTTTTTCTACTATTCAATAATCTACACAATGTACACTTGTGTATATGTATGAATCTTCACATTCATCGTTAGAAAAAAATCGGATTTATTCACTATAAATATTTTTTTTGTATTTTAGTCACTATCATCGTCATTCATTTGGAAATGATGAACTTATAAAAAAAAACAAGGATCGCAATCTGAATCAACTTTTTCTTCTTGAGTAATTGAACCAACAACTTTCATTAAAAATTAAAACAGTGGTCGAAGAAATAACTGAAAAAGTTCAAAAAGAAAATGTCTAAGAATGGAAAAAAAAACATTTTAAGAAAGATCGTCATTCAAATTCAAAAAACAATAAAAAAAAGATCTTCAAAGTAAAGATAAAGAAAAAAATCAGTAATCGATATACCCACATCTATTATTGAAGTTCAATCATAACATTAACATTTGTTTTTTTTTATGTATTTATTTTTTTCTGTCCTTTTTATTAGTTTTTTGTCTTCGGCAGAAAAATAAAATTTTATTGAGGAAATTTTAATTCAACTTAGTTGTTTTTTTTTTATTCATTTTTGAAATCCCAATAACATAGACTATTAAGATGCAAAACTGTACAATTTCTTCACGTAAACAATAAACAGAAGCAAAAGATTGTTTTTATAAAGATTAAATATGATTAATATCGATTGTTGATTAGGTTTTCATTATCAACGTTTCTTAAATTATTAAATAATATTCTTGAAATTTTCAATTGTATTTTAATTTTTGTTGAATTGAATTTTCATATTATTTCAAACTTCTTTTGTCTTTTGATCAAATGAAATATAACGAAAGGGTTACGTATTAATTGCGACCAAAACTGAAGTCAATTAGTTGAATGTCTATCATTTACCACAAATCGTGGTACCCTAAATCTATCCCTAAATTCAATCCACATTTGTGGATAATGAAATTGGTAAAATCAAAAGTGGTGACCAATTAGAGATTTTGTTTTAGAGATTTTTTTAAACATATAAGGCATCATGTTTAGAAATGTAACAGGTTTCAATCAAGGAATGAAACCGTTCGATTATCCAGTTCTTTATGAAAAACTTGGAACTGGTCACCAGTTCTTTTGATAAGAACTAGTATCATTAAACACCTCATATTATTATTTCTGACTCATTAGACTCTATTTTCGACAAAAAGAATGAATTCCTGAATCCAGATTTAATAAAACGACTGATTAATAGAACGAGAACCTGTCATAAGCCTAATAATAATTCCATACGATTCTAACAATCATTCTATAAGGTGTACACGTTTTAGTCAGCCATCAAATATTATATAATATACTTTTAATTCTAACTAAGTAATAAGAACATAAATATAATATCATATTGTAATCTGTTTTATTTCAAGATAGTAAAGTTTAGGTATTTTTTGCTGCACCTAGTATCATCATATGATATTATCGTCAACAGAATACCTCTTACTCATTAGTTATACAACACTTTTGAGTTTGCGTGCATATCGCTTGTCCGTCTGATTGATATCTTTATAACGAGTGGAATGAATGAAAGCTTTTGGGCAACCTATTGCATATTACGATAGTACATAAAATGCAAGGCTGTGATCAGTAGAATGGTGATTTCGGGTGACACTTTATATTGACTTTTTAAAACTGAATACTGGTTGATTTACGATATGAAGAGTTCGCATACCATAGGTTACATATCAAAAGATAAGGGCAGAGATGGGCGAGTCAAGTCAAAAATGACTTAAGTCAAACTCATTTTTGACTTGCTTGACTTGACTTGAAATTATTTTTTAATGACTTGCGACTTGACTTTGACTTGACTTGAAAATTTTTTTTAATGACTTGCGACTTGACGTGACTTGACTTTGATTTTTCATTTTTTGACTTGACTTGACTTGTGACTAGACAAAAAAATACAAGTCAAGTCAGCTATTCTTTGCAACTTCAATGCATATTAGATTCTCGTCAGGTTATATTTGGCCTAGGCGTATAAAATAAGGTTCCAAACAGACTAGACGAATAAACAATGAATTTTTAATTCATTGTTTATTCGTCTAGTCTGTTTGGTCTTACAAAAGACACTGTCTGACATCGACATTCGCGAGTATATAAGCAATTATACGGCAGAGTGTACATCACACGTGACCTATTGTATTAAACTGGTTAGATCAATTACAACTTGTATTACAACTGAATATGAGTGATTTAATTTCACAATTTGATAGTCATCTTTCACATGATTCTCCAGATGTGTGTGTATTATCAACTGTTCCAATACCTTCCTGTACATTGGCTGATTCAACTGAAACAACGTCAGAAACTACTGATAGTATTCCAAAAACAATACGAAATAAATTTTATGTAAATATAAAAATTCATGTTAATGACTTGTGACTTGACTTGACGTGACTTGGTTTAGAACACAGACTTGACTTGACTTGACTTGCAATGCCATATCCCAAATTGATGACTTGACTTGACTTGACTTGAAAATATTTTTTTTTCGAGCAATGACTTGACTTGACTTGACTCTCTTTGACAAATGACTTGACTTGACTCTCTTTGACAAATGACTTGACTTGACTCTCTTTGACAAATGACTTGACTTGACTTGAATCAAAAAAATAGCTGACTCGCCCATCTCTGGATAAGGGCATTAAGTTTTGGCACTATATGACTGACAGCATTGTTTGTGTTGTAAAGAATGATTCTTATGCTAGCCGAACAAGCAGTATTTAGTTTTACGCTTTAAGTTGATAGAAAACTGCAATAATTTTTTACTTGATCTACATGTACAAAACAATTCGCAAACTCTTTGTGTACTTCTTGATGGCTGAAACTATTATAACATTAGAAGATGTACATAGGCCAACTGTCGGAACAAGAACTTCTCTTGCTAAATGCCAAGACATGTTTCATTAAAATCCAGAATACATTCTGGTCACCAGATGTATTGCAACATCCTTCGTAAGTTCGAAAAATTGATCCTAGATGATTGGATACGGTCGGCGAAGTAGGATGACGTTAAAATACCATATGTCTGGTATTTTGTATGTCAGGAACAAAAACTCTAAATTATAAAATCCCTACTTGGTTACCAGTTTTAACTTTTTCGATTTCATTATCCACAAATGTGGATTGAATTTAGGGATAGATTTAGGGTAACACGATTTGTGGTCAATGATAACCTACCAAATTAAATACATAGGTTCTCTTGTTAATGATTCGTACACTTTTAGATATTTTATCATACTTATTGAATACTTAGAACAGAACAAAGAGAGGTAGAAACGATAGACTAGATAGAAGACAAAAACCAAGGTACAAACACCTAACAACTATTATTCGATCCTTTTAAATAATACATCATATCTGTTCCTATTAAAAATAACACCAAGAAAACATAAGCAACTTAAGTTCTAACCAATTACAAGTGGATATTTCATTTTATACAATATCACGAGTCTCCAAGTTTCAAATAATGTTTTTTTCCCTTTTTTTATCGGTGCGATTCATGCCTATCCAAAAATATTTCAACATATCATTTATAGGTAATCATATTTTATTGTCACTATAATAATTCATAAATTCGTGCGATTTCTAAAAAAGTGGACTTCATTTTTGTGAATAACTCATTGAGCTGTATCGAGTTATATCGATCAGAAATCAGTACAAAATCATGAACAGTTGATTTCGATATTCATATCATTAACTAATAGATACAGCTTGCTCTACACAGGTAGTAAGAATTTTAGTTAAAAGATTAACATATGATTTCATTTTCTTTGTAAAATCGAGAAAGATTTCTATCTCAGATTTTTTGTGTCATTGTGTTGCTTTTCTTTCATATAATATTGGATTTGCAGTGTTTGTATATCGATCTAATCTTTTCAATATTGCGTTTCGTTGCTATGGAAAGTAGCTGGGTATTCTATGGACACTTTCAGGCATTTTATGCGTATTCTACGATTGGTTTAATCAATGAAAAAGAAAATATCGATGAAATATTCAACGAGCTTTCATCATATAAGCTTATCGATTCCATTTTATATTGAGCAAATGATTTTCTCAAAAACAATCAATCATCTAAAGATGTCAGTAATGACTAAAATACGTATAGTTGTACAGTTTGTTGGACGCTAATACCATCACAACATGAACAATAATGGCTATCATAATTTCTTTTCTTAGCTGTCAATTGAAGAGTAACAAAGTATAAGAAAAAAGCGAGAGTTTTGTGTAAGATACCGTTCTGTTTCATCGACAGATTTTTTTTTTTTCGTTTCGTTCACAACTTTTTCTTCCTTTGATAGAACACCATATAATAATTGAGCGTTTGATTGACTAGTTTAACCTGAATTAATTAACTGCATAATGAATATTAATTTTTTTTTTTTTAGAAAATGATAGGACAATGTAGAAATCACTACTAATAATAATTTCGAATACAATTGCATATCGAACAAAGTTTTGTTAATGTGATACAATCCTAAGTTTTTTTTGTTTTTTTTTTAACTCGATGTCTTAATACAAAAAAAAAACCATTTAGGAAAACAGTTGTTTTTTTGTCTATGCTCGAATTTATTTTCATAAATAGCCGATAGACTTCGAACATTAATGTCTTCATTAAGTTGGAATAGAGTACGTCATCGATCGCATTCTTGTCGAGAAAAAACTACTCGTAAGTATTTATAACCTGTAGCCATAGAGTTTTTTTTAATTCTATCAATGTTACTAAGGAGCACCCCGTGAATTACATCGTCAAGCTATCGAACGTATTCAGCGTCGTTTCGAACAAGAATTAAATAGAAGTCAACGGGATTTACAATGGGCAATAAATCAACGAAATGATTCT